ACTTTTGTTGTTTTACGTTATGAATTTAAGATGACAAGATGCGTAGCGTATATAGTTATTCGCTGTATAAATAATAGTTTATTACGATAAATTAGAAAACTAATAGTGTCGTAGTCTCAAATATGTTTTCTTTAAAATTCGCACAGACTCGTATCTTACAACAACAAATTCTGAACAATAGCATTTATATTATTTTCAGGAAAGCTTGTATTCAGTGAATACGTAATAGAAATAGTAAACTGACAAATATCAAGACGAATATATTAAGAATGTATATTTACTTCAATAATTAAATAAGTTTGAGCAGTCTTTATTAAATAATTGATTTTTTTTTTTGGAATTGTAAGACAATGGNAAAATATTATAATATTTTTTAATCATAACTTGAAACGAAGAATGTCACGGGACTGATACCTTTAATTTGTTGTGTGATTCATAATAATATTTTTAGAAATTAAATAAAATTTATAGATTGAATGAAAATACAAAAACTTTTACCATGATATTTATAATGAAGTAGATAAATGGAATTTGGTATTCAAATATAATAATGAAAGTACATCAAAGAAACAACCCAAATTTAGTTCTATTAAACTACTCATTAGATCGTTAGAAGTAAGTTCTTCACAGGAATCTAAAGAACATTATAGGTATGAGAGCTGTCTATATTTTTATTCTTGGTAAGCGTACCATATGTGATACACTTTCATCAAACTTAGCATTGCCTTCTGCGAGTTCATTAAATCGTTACATTGGTGATCTGGTTATACCAATATCTGAAGGAGAATGTTGTGTTTAAGAGTTCAAAGAGTTTTTAACGAAAAAAAAATTGCCCCATGTTGTCTGAATAAGTGAGGACGCTATTCGAATAATATCAAAAGTACAGTATAATTCACGCATAAATGAGCTATTAGGCTTTGTGCAGCCTTTAGATAAAAATAGCGGATTTCAAAAAGCACACTTTTTCAAATAAACAAGTTTTGAAACGATGAAAAATATTTTCAAAATTATAAAGGGTCATCTTATTTATATTGTTACATGGTTTAGCCTTTGCAAAAAAATGCACCTAGTTTTTGCCTCAGTACGTTTGGTACTGACAGTTCTTTTATTGCTGAGGATACTCTTAAAAGATTGAATCCTTTAGTTATGATGCTAGAACGCGAAAATATAGTAGTCTTAGGATTTTCAGGCGACGGTAATTCTCGATTAGTTAAAGCCATGAAAATAAAAAGTCAATTAGATCACAGTAATGCTGATGCAGGTATTAATTAAGAAGGTTTTCATGCGTCTCTTGTACCACCTCAGATTTGTATTCAAGATCCTGTTCACCTTGCAGTAAAATTAAAAAAAAGATTATTTAAGATTCCTACAAGTGTACCAATAGGGAATTTTATAGTATCATCGTCACATTTAAGAGTAATATTAAAAATTTTTTCAAAAGATAAGCATTTGCTAACGGAAAAAAGTTTATACGGCAAAGATAAAATGAATTTTAAATCTGTGATTATAATTTCAAACAAAAAGTAATTAATTTATTAAAAACGAAGTGCCGGGTAGTGAGGCTACTCGACAGTATTTGAAAATTATAAATTTTATCATACATTCATTTCTATCAACTGATCTAAATATACTGGTCAGAATATATTGTTTATGGTTTAGTGTCTTTTTCATCAGGTTTTGGAGAAAGTGGCTTTCTCGTAATGCAAATTACTCTGACATTAATAATTTTCTGTCACTGAGTACGTACACGTGTTTAGAGACGAATGCTCACAGTATGTATAGTATTGTAATTACAACAATTGAAAATGAAACTTTTATTACCATGGCAATTTAGTAGCCAACCTTGTGAAGTACTTTTTAAAACCTTAAGATCTCTAAGTATCGTTTTTTGTACCCCAGTAAACTGCAGTGTACTGGAAGCTTTTCAGAAAACTCAACCAATAACATTTATTTCAAATGTAATAGCTCATAATTTTGGGAATAAAAATATAAAGTATCCTAAAAATACAATTTTGAATGCACCATTCAAAAAACTACATACAAATGACTTATACTTGGACCTGGATCTGAAGCACATGACATTTTTAAACAAGAAATCGGCTTAGCAACCGTCAGAGACATTATCAACAAAGCTAAATCAGATGCTTGAAAATATTCAACAACTTGGACTAACAAATTTAAATATAAATGATGCCAACGAGTTGTCTATGAAGTCAGTTGATATCGATGAAAACAGTTTAATTGACGAAACCGTTGATTGTACTGATAAATGTAGGGAAAAAGTGTAGAAGAAAACTTTGAAGAGTACTTAGAGGAGTATGAAAATACCAGATTTTTTTGGTTATGTTAATTTAAAGGATTATTCTACTCAACATAAAAACAAAACAGAAAATGATTCTAGGTTAAAAATAAAAGAGTCGGATGGTAGGATGAAAATCATTAAAAAATCATCAGTTCATTACTTATTAAATCAAGACATAGAAAAATTAAGCAACGATCGATTGCTTCGCGTCCAAAGTTGCAATCTGACAGCAAAATATTACGATCATGAAAAAATATTTAAAGTCTGCACTCTGGACACTGTACTTGTTTTAGACTGGTCTTTGAAACTGAAAGTACTGAAAAATGTTTATTAGGTAGTGTTCTCGGTTTTGTCTATATGAATCAGATTAGTTGGGAAAAAATTGAGTATTCTAAAACATTTGCAAAAAGTGTTTGTTAATGATGAGACTGCAGAAGATAATAAAAAACAAGTTGGATATTGTGCAACTAGTTCTCTATAAATAAAACAAATGAATCTCTAAAATTCATCGAATTATCAGTACATGGCTATCATTCAATTGAAAAGTCTAAAATTACTATCCCAGCGCCACTGAAAAAATGTTACATTTTCCGCCCTCGGGTGGTTTTGGGAGGCTGGTACTTTCTCGGGCAAAATGGTAATTTTCCTACGAGTTTGAAACGTCTCTGTTTGCGAACCGAGAGGTTTGCGGCCCGAGCCGAAGGCGAGGGACGTAACGAGGTTCGTAAAGGAGACTTTTCGAACGAGTTCCGGAAAACTGCTTTTTCGCCCGAGGAAGTACCAGCCTCCCAAAACCACCCGAGGGCGGAAAAAGTAGTTTTCCTACGAGTTTGAAAAGTCTTTGTTTGCGAACCGAGAGGTTTGCGGCCCGAGCCGAAGGCGAGGGACGTAACGAGGTTCGTAAAGGAGACTTTTCGAACGAGTTCCGGAAAACTGCTTTTTCGCCCGAGGAAGTACCAGCCTCCCAAAACCACCCGAGGGCGGAAATAGTAGTTTTCCTACGAGTTTGAAAAGTCTCTGTTTGCGAACCGAGAGGTTTGCGGCCCGAGCCGAAGGCGAGGGACGTAACGAGGTTCGTAAAGGAGACTTTTCGAACGAGTTCCGGAAAACTGCTTTTTCGCCCGAGGAAGTACCAGCCTCCCAAAACCACCCGAGGGCGGAAATAGTAGTTTTCCTACGAGTTTGAAAAGTCTTTGTTTGCGAACCGAGAGGTTTGCGGCCCGAGCCGAAGGCGAGGGACGTAACGAGGTTCGTAAAGGAGACTTTTCGAACGAGTTCCGGAAAACTGCTTTTTCGCCCGAGGAAGTACCAGCCTCCCAAAACCACCCGAGGGCGGAAATAGTAGTTTTCCTACGAGTTTGAAAAGTCTTTGTTTGCGAACCGAGAGGTTTGCGGCCCGAGCCGAAGGCGAGGGACGTAACGAGGTTCGTAAAGGAGACTTTTTGAACGAGTTCCGGAAAACTTTTTTTTCGCCCGAGGAAGTACCAGCCTCCCAAAACCACCCGAGGGCGGAAATAGTAGTTTTCGTCGGATAAGTGCCATCGTCTTTGGGGCTATTTTACGGCCCAAGGGACCTGCGAAGCAGCACCTGTAAAGCAACACCAGCCTCTCAAAAACCCCCGAGGTAGGAAAAAACTTATCATACGTAAATAATGATGTTTATAAAAACATTAGCAAATTTGTATATACAAAACGTATTTGTTGAGAAATTAGTATTTGTAATTACAAATGATTCAAATTACAAGTATTCTAAGAAATTTTCTATTAAACTTTGTAATAAAAATGGTTTCAAAGTATTTTTATCGTCATGATATTTATTAAGCACATATTTTTATATGTAAACATCTATATTAATAGTACTAATAAAACACACTGAGTAGGTATATTATTTTAATTTTACGTTTAGACGCAATTCAATAAATAAAATATTGCCGTATATATCTTCCATATCTACTTCAAATTGTGTCAGTAGCACTTTGCTTTCATGCTGTGGTTTTTTAACAATAAATAACACAAGTAATCTCTACTGCTATAATTGATTTTTATATTTCTAAATAAACCAAATATCCAAATTTCTAAATATCCAATATTAGATGTTTTAAAACATTTTATTTAAAAAACCTAAATTATGTACGTGAATATGTAACACCGAGGTTAACACAAATACTTGCGATTGATATTAAGATTCTTGATTATCTTTATTGCTTTATAACAATTAATTTCTTGAAAATGAATTATAACGGTTTAACAGAATTTAAAATTACGGAACGTCTTTTGATTTGTGAGTACTCGATAAGAACTTCCTGTACTGCTTGCAAACTCATGCGTACTCTCCCGTACTGCAAAGAACTCAATCGAACTCTGTAAAGCCCAGCAATCATTTGAACTCATTGTACTCCTCGCGAACTCATGTATACTTATAAGTACTTATCGTGTAAGTGGTTTGATGAAAAGCCTCTCGGTTTTTTACATAAATGAATAGTTATAGTAAACGTCGATTATTCAACGCCGTTTTATAGTTTAGCTTTTTAAAAAATACATTCACAAAAATTTACCCAATCGACTACTAAAAATAATTCCTCAATACTAATTGTCAGGGTTTTTTTTTTTGTATTATAACATTTATGACAGAATTCATTACAATCAACAATAATTGAATGATTATAACAAAAAATTAATGATTAGTAAAAGTACTTACAAGTTTCTTGCGATCTTCAACACTTTGCAAAAATTGTTCAGAACCAACTTTGCTAATTTGAGAATTTTGAAGCCAAGGTTGTATACTTTGATACTGAGAATAGAAGTTATTCATATCCGGCACTAGGTCTTTAATAACATACATGTGTGGTAACGGATATATTTTGGTCACTTTATTTAGATTAGAATCAATTGTACTGAAAGAGTTTAAAGGATTACAACGAAAGCTACAAGTATTTATTATAAGCTATTAAATAAATTAATTTAAAAATTACCTGATACAAGCTAATGTATTAGTCCCATTAATGTTCATTGCACAAGATCCACAAATACCTTCACGGCATGAACGACGAAAAGTTATAGTTGGATCAAGTTCGTTTTTAATTTTTATTAAGGCATCCAGCACCATAGGACCGCAACTACACAAAATGATTAGATTAAGTGTTAGACATATTATTAACAACATTTTTTAACAATCACCTGTTTAGATCAACACGATAATCTTTCATACACGGAGATTTGTCTGGTTCATCGGGATTCCATCGATAAATAGACAATGTCTTGAATCTATTTGATTTATTTAAATTTGATACTGTAGACTTAGAGCGTGCCTAAAAACAGTTAATAATGTATATTATATCAGCTAAATATCCTATACTACACAGTTGTGTCATATAAGCTTCTAATTGATACAACAATCCATTTGGCGAAACTCATGGAAACTTAACATATTCGACAGATTTTTTTAAAGAATAATGTAAGAAACAAAATTGAAGAAAAAAATCTTAATAAATAAGATCTTAATCTTAGACTTCTGTTGCATGTATATATATTTTTATGTATGACTTTCAAATATGCAATCAGAGATTAGTAGGCAGATTCCCAGTGCTTGCGGTAGAGAGTATCGCTTGTGTGTGTATGGGCGTGTTACGTGTAACACACATATAGTCAAAGAATATGAAAAATACAAATATAAGGCAGAGAGCCAATCAACACAAAATATACGAACATCCTTGATTATAGTCGTACACTCCTTCCTTTTTCTTAATTTCAGTGTTACCTATTTTGTTATTAAAATTACGTATATATGAAGGTTAAAAATTTTTAAATAAATGATAAAATTAAACGAACAGAGGATTTTCTTGAACAGCGGGGTAGATCAATTTCAGAACTTCCTATGTACATCCTATGGTTTTATTCACTCAAGATTTGTTGAGTCATGCATTCATGTAAATCAAATGAAAGAAATTTTATAAATATATCAGCTATTTGATTTCTAGAGGCGATCCATCTAATTTCTATTCTTTTAAGAGCAACACACTCCTTGACATAGTGAGCCTTGATTTCTGGTATACGTCTCAGCTTGCTTTCTCCTCCTGTTTTAGAGCTGGCTTCAGCTGCTTTATTGTTGCACCAGAGAAGCATGGGCAAAATTTTTTATTTAATACGGAAACCAGAGAGTTTCTTATTTTCATCAGCTCTTTACAAGCTGCACTCATGGCTAAGTACTCAGCTTGACAGTTTCTTCTCTTTCTTCCCTTTATAAATTCAATATTAGGTTCGTAACCGTGGGCGTTCTTCATGGGTGAGAGTTGTGGAAACCAAATCGCTACAAGTTTTTTGTGATGTAATTCTCTGAGTCAGTGTAATGGTGCTTTTGTTCCTTTTTTTTAACTTCTTCTAAATCCGTCATTTCAAACTCTTTTTGTAACTGTCCTTTAACGTCCGTTACTTTATTTACACTTGCCAACCAATAGCATGTCATTTATGTACAGAAGCAGAATGAGAAGTTTACCAGTAAATTTCTAAGTAAATGAACAGGGTTCATTTTGAAAGGCTTTTAGTTCTATTATGTTTCGTGACCTAGGTAAAGTTTTCATACTATTGTTTAGAACCTTTCTTAAGTCAATACACAAACTTTTTCAGTATGCATACTTTACGTCCTGTAACTCCGTCTAGCTAACCTAGTTCTTTAGGGATTTTCATATGTATGTTTTCTAAAATGGTGCCATGCAAAAAGGCCTACTTAAAATCCAGTTGACACATTTGTAGATCATGTACGTTAACGACTACAAACGTTAACAACTACGTTTTTCGTAGTTCCCAGACTTAAGTACTGTATTCAATTTAGGGTCTAATGCATCAATCTTTTTGTTGTCTAGCCAAATACCCATGCCCTTATCTACAAACTTTCTAAACGATAGTAGATTTCTCATGAGGTCTGTCAAACAAATGACGTCTTCTAACTTAATCCGTTTGTTATAATTTCATCCTACTATATCCCCTCTCCCTCCGTTCTCAAGTCTGCTGAAGTGCCTCTATTTGAACATTTTATATTATCTACATCCTTATTTTGAAATGTAGTAAAAATTGTTTTGAATTTTTTAACTGCTTCGTGGCACCCGAGTCTGCAGTAAACTCTGCAACATTTCTAAATTTATTATTAATGGTGACACTTGCGGATGCTGAGAACATAGTTGAGGATTCAACATACATATCAACCTTACCGTTATTGTTTTTATTTTCGTTCTTCTTTCTGTTTCTAACTATTTTCTGGTCTGTTTTCTCAACATTTTTACTTTTATTCGCGTTATCTGTTTTCTTCCTTTTGTTATGATTGATGTTAATGTTATCACTTTAATTTTTTCGTTTCTTATTCACCTGCGAGTTGAGTCTGGACGCGTTATCTTACGGCTTTTTTGATTGGGACAGTTATTGCTCCAATGCAGGTCAGATTGACGTATTCTTCAGACCTAAACCACTTTCTTTTCCCTTCCGACCTCATGCAATCGTAGAATATATGACCCATACTGTCACACTTAAAAGATTTGGGGGGTCTGCTCTCAAGACTCGCAGCGCGGCCACAGGTACCGTTAGAGTTTGTCCTCTTAGCATTCATTGGGCCTCAGCCTTTAAAACATATGATTTTAGTCGATAATGACTTCGTACTTCACATTTATTAATCTAGTCTACATTTAGTAGGTTAAAAACCGAATGTACAACAACATTGTAGAGCGCGTGTCTCTTTTCTTCTTCCGATCAAGGAAAGTATTATTTAGATAATCCTATCCAATTACTATATCTTCACATTCGTTCTAAAATCAGGAAGCACACTCTCTTTGAGGGTTAAATTTAATGCTATACAATCTTTTCCTAATTGAGTTTGTGGACTTATCTGATTCACATCCTTTTAATCCTTTTATTTTCTCTAATAACAACACAGAGTTTCTTATGTGAGCTGCTTTCGAATAGTATCTTTCATCAATCCTATTAAGAAGCATATCCATTACTTTATATTAATGTTCATCCAGTATTTTATCATCCGGTACATCACTGACTTCTACTGAGTTATAAATTATGTATAACAGATCACGGGTTCTCAATTGAGAAGTAAAATATTTCAAACTTGATATTTGGAGTTAGCTCGACTTCGTACTTTACTTAAGTTTCTCTTTTTATGAATTCTACTTGCAACTTGTCTCTCTCGGTAGTGCCCAAAAAATATCTCATACCATGCATATGAAAAGTTTTTTGGAGGGTCTTATCCAAGTTTTTCCTAATTAGTTTACCTAAGTCGATGATAGATATGGTAGGGTTTAAATTTGTTTTGGAGTATATACTAATATTAATTGAACTTGTATTTACTTGCATCTTTTTGACTTCCTCTTCATCAGCCTATAGGTTTTTCAACCGGTTCACTACCGCTACTAACCAGTGGGTTTGACAGTCCGTGAGCACTTTATGTGACCTTTCTATATTCTCTCTCCTTTTAGTTTCATTATAGTTCAAGTTTAAGTCCCTTCTTATATATTTCATCATGTTTATCTCTCCTTTTCTCATGTTTATCTGTTCCTTTAGTGCGTCTATTCCTGTTGACGTATTAATTTTTGTCAAATCTGTAAAGTTAGTGTTGTTTGCCTTTTTTACACTTCATACTTTTGTTTGATTCCGTAAAATAATTTAAAACATCTTATAATTGTATATTTTCCTATTTATATAAATTATTAGTCACTTACGGAGCCTGTACAGCTAATAAAACAGATTGATTCACTTACTGAGGGGGGGGGGGCAGGTTACTTTGCCACCGTTTGCCGTTTTAAAGGCAGAAATCATTTTGAAAAATTGTACTTTGTTTTCATAGGACTCAGAATCTAAAAAAACAAATAACGTTAATTCTATCACTTACTGAGCATCTTATACTGATCCGCAGACACAAACTGTATCAAATGTGTAAGACACTATATACTGTATCAGTGGTAAACCAGGCATTGACGACAAAAAGGGCTGCATACATCTTACTAATATATGAAGCAAGGTCACTAAAACCGTTGTAATCGCTAACCACGAAAACTACTTAACCAAACTTGCTGAAATTTTGAAAAACTGATTTTTGACACTTTTTGTACAGTTTTATCTTGAGAAAGTTAATAACAATAGCAATAAAATCTGCTAAATAGAATCTGCTAGGTAGCATAGAAATAAAATCAAAGCTACGTGCAATAGAATTAAGCAAGTCTCGTAAGTCTAAATTTTATGCAGCATGATCACCCCGTGGCGACTGTCCTGGTGAAAACAGAGGTAATACCAGGACAGGCGTCGCGGTCCGGAGCACCTGCTTAGCAGATTCCCTCGTCTCCACACGCTTCTTCAGTAAAGGTCTCGCACTCTCTTGATCTACGTCGTCTCGATGGATTGGGAAGAGCGTAAAATGAGAGAGAAAAAACAAGAGAGAGAGAGAGAGAAAACATAAAACAAAACAAGAAAAGAGAAAAAATTTTCACATGCTTCATAGAGTCAGCGGGCCTATAACCTGTAGTGACTATGAAGGAATTGGGGCGAGGTTTAAATTACCAAGAGACATGTATTTGACTGTTTAGTTTTTTTTTAACTGTGTTCTTTCTAACTTTATATATATATATATGAGGATAAATTAGGAAATATGCGGACGTCTACATAATTCTACCGTATCATTACCATATGTCTTAAAGCACGTAAGGTCTGCATGAGTCACCTTCTCTAAACACACACACACATACATATATATATAAAACTAGCAGCCCTCCGTCTTGGCTTCACCCGAGACTTACTAAATGGAACACCGCAGTGTGTTGACATGAAATGTGAAACGTTTTTATTTTACATCTATTCCTGACACTTCTCAGAATAAAAATCTTCTTATTAAAAAAATTTTGATTCGCAATCCATACAGTTTAATTGGTTAAATAACAAGCTGTAAAAATAAAGAAAAAATATCATTATGCTGAAATGTACCGTGAGTTCCTTATGCTATAAAATAATCGTTGGCTATAAGGAGCCGTTGATTTGCAGTTTCTCTCATATAATTTATAAAAAGGGCTTCTTTTTGAAGCTATTAAGATTTTAAACTCCCAAAAAATATATATTATATAAAAAATTTTTTTTCTCTTATCCCACAACTATATTACCAAAACGACAAAGTTTTGGAGCTTAATCTTTACATTTTTTATTGCCACAAAAATACAAGTACATTTTCTACTTACCAAAAAATCTGAATTTAGATCTTTAAACATTTGAGAGATTACTGTAAGGGTACAATGAAAAGCTAATCTCTCACGTAATGGTTTCTTTATTT